ATAGCTCCTTCTCCACAGCTTCACTTTTTCCTCTCCATGTTGCTGAGCCATTTCTGCCCGGTTGAGTCCAATCAGAGAGCCGTAGTGTCGTTCGTTAAGCCTCCAGGACTTGACAACAGGGACCCATTCCTGACCCATAGCCTCAATCACCAGCCATGCTGTCTGGATCGAGCGGCTAAGTATGGACGTGAACACGATGTCAAACTTGTATCCCTGCTCCTTCAAGAGCCTTCCACAGTCCTGGGCCTCCTTCACCCCATTCTCACTCAGCTTCTGGTCCACCCAGCTGCAGAATCGGTTCTCTTTATTCCAGGCCCCTTCTCCATGTCTCAGCAGAAACAGTTTGTACTTGGACATCCGGAGAGTTTGCTGCAGGCACCTGCACAAATTCAACAGAAATTAACAAAGAGGCAATGTAGAGAGCAAAGTAAAGATTTGACACAGATGCAAAAAGGATCTGTGTCCAGCTTGAGATGCACATCCTAATGAATCACACGTTTGTGGAGCAGGGACCTCTTTTAGAGAGAGCCAGCAAAAGGTCACAGGTTGTTTTTAGCCGGCTGAGAGTTAGCTACAGCAGATGCACTCATTAACCCTTACTCTTTATTTGCTGAAGATAAAACAACAATTAACGATAGCTAGCCAGCATATAAGCACTTTTTTGTCATGTTGCTGTAAAGCTTTAAAGCTAACCTCAAAGGATGGGCGACGATACCTAAAAGAGCCCTAACCCTGCCTGTTATGGCCGCTTAAACCGACATAAAGAGAGGATTAATATATTTAAAAACAGAACTGTAAACTTTGAGGTTTCTCATCCCAAACTGATGGGAACATTGTAAAAAACGTCGTCTTACCACGTTAGAATATTATATCCGGCTAAATGTAGCTGGTACACCCGTTAATGTTGACAGCAGTACACCACAGGCCAAGCACGGTAGCGTCCCCTGGACGTTGTCGATTGACAGTCCAGCCGTCCAATAGGAACGTCGAATATCACACACAGGCGGTACTACTGCTAAACGTTATGGCTATATAAGGAGCAGCTGCAAGCGTCAGACTCGTTCACTGTGGATAGAGAAGCTGGGAGAAGGCGTTGCCTGTGTCACAACCGTAGACGTGTTTCGATTACCGTGTGAAAAAACAGACCAAATTTAAAATTACTCAAGAGCAACGACATTGTTCTTTGGTCTATCCGGTTCTTCAAGCTCTATTATATAAAGTAAGCCAGCCTACTGGGAAGCTGTTATGGTTCAGTCTGGATTTTGCTAAGAAGTGTAAGTTGTCCTCTGCAGGTTGCAGCCAGGGACAGATTATGAAAAATACAGGCACTGGGTACAGATGGATAAAAGCCCTCCCTGCTCATCCTACAGGGCAGACACACCTACAATGAGGAAGTTGAAATTTGTATTTATTTTGTGCATTCACCTATACATCATATAGGTGTTTTCCATTATCTGACATCTCTGTATGCTAGATGTTTTTTTGTTTTGATTTTTGCATTTTAGTCTTTTTGTCATAATTGTGTGTTTCAATGTTGTTTCTTCACATAATTTTTGTTACTTTTCCTGTCATTTTGCTTCTTTTTGGTGCCTTTTTCTCATTGTCAATAATAATAATAACATATACTTTATTAATCCTCATGGGGAAATCCCTGTCTGCATTTAACCCATTCACTCTGTGAAGCAGTCGGCAGCCTTTGGGCGCCCGGGGAGCAGTGTGTAGGGACGGTATCTTGCTCAGGGGTACCTCAGGGTAGTCGTTCAGTGGATTTGATTCATGGGTATTAATTTGACTCCTGAAACAGTGTCTGATAATGGTTAATTTGACCAAAAATTATTAGCCATATCTCAACTCGTGTTCCAAAATGTAATGACTTAGCTTTTTGGGACCAAACAATTAATGTCCCTGATCTGTTTCCTGTTGTTGATAAGCAAAATGCTTATCAACATTTGTATAGGCCCTTTAACACTCTCTGTCCACGTCATTAGATGTAAATGTTTGACTGCTTTTGAATGCAAATATTTAATAAACACATCAGATGGCAGCAACTCAGTATGTAGTATGTATGTATGAGTATGCAGACATGGTAAAGATGACCTGCTGAAGTTCAAACAAAGAGAAAGGTGACATAAATTATAATGTGGCATCCTCTGTACACCACCACAGTGGATTCTAATTTAAACAGTAAAGTTGTGATTAATGTGCAGACTTTTCACTTTGATTGATAAATGGTTTTAACAAAACTTTAACTAATTTTGACTGGCTAACAAAATTTTAAATACAAGGGCTGTTTTTAACATTCAGATTAAAACTGTTTGCAGTCATTGACTGCCTAAAGTCTAGAAGCCATTGACATCACCGTATGCTGCATTTCCTTCAATTCATTTGCTTCAATGGCAGTTGAAACAATCGAGTTTCTTTGCAACAGGAAGCATTTGCTTTTGCAGTATGCTTTGGTAATTTTCCATTTCCACTGTGATGAGTTTTTTTTTTTTTGCTGCATTTGACTGAGTCTGAGCAGAGGGTACAACACAACTTTGCTAAGTTGAATTCATTCAACTTAGCACGGAATCAACTTTAAATCAGAATCAGAATCGTGTTTATTGGCCAAGTATATGTGCAGACACAGATGGAGGCTCTCAAGCACAGCAATGTAAATCACACGCACACATAAACACACACAACACACACACACAAACACACACACACACACATTACACATGCATACACATACATACACAAAGCTGTGTAAACCAGCTATAAATAACCAATCTAAACTTATATACATAGAATACAGAAATGAAGTGGAATGAATACTACAGAATGTGCATAAGGTGTAGTTTCAGTGGGAGCAATGTGACAATGACCGCAGTGTAGAACTGGATCAGCAGCTTCTTGGAGGTGCAGTCATTAGTGTAGAGGGAGAACAGTAGTGGTGAGAGGACACATCCTTCAGGGGCACCAATACTGAGAATAAATAAATGTAAATGGCCTGTATTTATATAGTGCTTTTACTAGTCCCTAAGGACCCCAAAGCGCTTTACATATCCAGTCATCCACCCATTCACACACACATTCACAGGGAGTTTGGAGGAGAGATGTTCAGGCAAAAGCTGAACTAAAGTCCACAAACAGGACCCTGGCATAAGTTCCCAGGTCGAGGTGTTGCAGGATGTAATGCAGCCCCATGTTTACTGCATCATCCACCGACCTGGACCCTCTGCAAACTGCAGAGGGTCCAGCTGGTGGCCTGTAATGTCCTTCAGATGGGCTAACACCAGTCGTTCGAAGGATTTCATGACCAAAGACGTCAAGGCGACAGGTCTGTAGTCATTCTGTCCTGTGATGGATCTTTATGCACTCTATTACTTCCAAGTCTGATGGAAAAACATAGAATTTGTTCCAATTTCTTTAGTTGGCCTGGCACAGGACCTGAGACATCCATCTGTACAGAGGAAGTCAGGAGCAAAGTACAACAGTGAGTGCCTACAGCCACCCGTACGGTGGACTCTGTCATTTTTTCTAGCTGCATTTCAGCCAGTGGTGTTGGGGATCTTCTCAACATTGAAGGAATAAGAAATGCAGATTTTGAACTGCCATAAATATCACCTAGAAAGCATCTCATTGAGAACAGGCTCAACATTATTTAAGCAGCATAGGATCAACATTGACAGAGAACAGATCAAAAGTCAGCCAACATCCAAAGAAGAGCTTTGAATGTCCTACAAGCGGAATAAGTGTTACCAATGACTATTTAAAGAAATTAGAGGAAAAGATTTTTGCACATCATTGCATATTAGATTAGATAAGATTAGATAGAACTTTATTAATCCCTCGGGTGGGTTCCTCTGGGAAATTCGATTTCCAAAAAAGCACAGCACCGACAGAAGTTACAGAGTTACAGAATATTATATATATATATATATATATATATATATATATATATATACACACACACACACACACATATATATAAATACAGAGACAATATAAATAAAATATACGAAGGGGATAAATAGAATAAATAGGAATAAAAATAAAAATACAAGTGAATTGCACATTTCAAGTATTGAGTCTATTGCACTGTTGACTATTTACAAAAAGTATTGCACAAAAGGTATTGTACAGTGAGGTGAAGAGGCACTACAGCTTAGTTGTTCCCCCCTCCTTTGTCCTCCTGTTTCCCCTCCCTCTCCCCTCCAGGGAGGAGTTAAACAGTCTGATGACGTGTGGGACAAAGGAGTTTTTAAGTCTGTTAGTTCTTGTCTTTGGGAGAAGCAACCTGTCACTGAACAGACTCTTCTGATTGTTTATGGCCGTGTGCAGAGGATGCCTGGCATTGTCCATAATGTCCATCAGTTTCTTTAATGTCCTTTTCTCTGCCACTGTCACCAGAGTGTCCAGCTTCATGCCGACCACAGAGCCAGCCTTCCTGATCAGTTTCTCCAGCCTGGATGAGTCCTTCTTTGCTGTGCTGCTCCCCCAGCACACCACAGCATAGAAAAGTACTCCAGCAACCACCGACTGGTAAAACATCCTCAGGAGCTTCCTGCAGATGTTAAAAGACCTCAGCCTCCTGAGGAAGTACAGTCGGCTTTGGGCTTTTTTATACAGGTGCTCTGTGTTGCATGCATATGAATAAAAATGTATTTTTAAATGTATTTTTAAAGAAAAAATAAGCATTTGATGAAGTTTGGATGCGATCATGCTGACCTTGGGTTCTTTTCTATTGTTAATGACTGATGCAAATTGTTGGGTGTGACGCATGAACTCGGAGAGGAGCCTTAGAGTTTGAGAACCATTAGGCTAATACAATTTCCAGAAAACCTTGTTAAAAATTATGAGTTCCACGTGACGTCTTTTTAACACTACAATAAATTCTGGATAAAGCAAATGTCTAACATATCAATTCACTATTCTGAAGTTTATGTTGATAAACACGCAGACTATAAGCGTGATTCATTCTTAAACAGTACTGAAAGGAGAACAATGATTTCTGCTTAATGTTAAAGAGATTTTATTATTTGATTGATTATGACAATGCTTTGCTCATTAGTTTAATTAATACCACATTCATACAAGGACTTCATGAACAGTTGACTCCAGCATTAGCTGCCCCTGGAATGTGCATTCACGGTCTTAATCAGTTCAGTATAGCAAAAGAGCACAAGCTTTTTCAGACAACATGGGCAGAACATAAGCAGGACACATGAAAGATTTCTTGTCATATGCTCATCTGGTTTTCTGTAAATATGGGCGATTTTTTAAATAAATAAACAAAGTCAAAAAGCAGGGCGATATTATTGAAGTGACACAGGCAATCAATATTAATTCAGATATAGGCTAAAAAACTAAAAAAGCAATGTAGTGCTCTAATATGTTTAATACACATTTTTTCATTATGGGAAAAATATATATTAAGAGACAATTGTCCTAAAGACACTACTGATGCCTCACTACTGTCTGTATATTCACAACATGAGCTGTGTCAGAATTATAATCATTATAAAGTTAATGCAGTTGTTGCATCCACCTGTTTCTTAACAGACATCTTAACCCAGATATTCATTTTAAATCTATTGTCCGGCATCAAACAGCTTCTTCCTGCCCTCCATACCAGACATGGCCTCCACATTCTTACGCCAATCAGTCACCTCCTCTTTCTGCAGGGTGATAGTACAGTTAGTGCAGTTAAATTCATACTGAGGTGGGGATACATGCTTTTTAATAGCAAACACTGCAGGTATGTCTTTATTTTCATTGCACTAAATCTTAGTGCCTAGCACACTGTTGAACTTTGTAGCACGTCACATGCACTAGTTTCAAAGGCAGAATATGGGCATACTTTAATAGTGTATTTACATTGTTGTTTACATTCGGGACTCTTAAAAAATAGTGTGAATTAACATATATATTGCTCCACTTACCTTCTCCTCCTCTTTCTTCACTGTCTTCAGGTTTGCCTTAAAGTCCACAGACTCTTTGACCTTGGATCCCAGCAGAGCTCCCAGCATTGCATCAGCAGACACCCTCACCCTCCTCAGATTGGGTCTCTTCATCTTGCCTTTCAAGTCAAAGATCTTTTGAGACAGATCCTGTATCTTTTTTCCAACACAGATTTTTTTTTAAAACAAACAAAAAAACCCATCCTCAGGATTAATTTATTGAACTTTTTATTGTCCGTATGCATCCTATAAGATTGTACTTAAAATACTTGGTTGGTTATTTGCAAATAATACTTACCTCCTTGTCATTTTTTGTCACCTTAAGAGCAATATCATAGCGCTCCTCATCAACCACGTCAATCTTCTGATGTAGCTGCTTGCAAAAATTCTGCGAATAGAAGATTTAAGTGTATTAGACCTGATGTGAAAACAAGTTTTTATCTAATTGGTTTTAATAATTTAATGGGAAAAACTGACAAGAAACGATACAAAGAGACACTGGAACATATATATGTGCAATGCCTTGGTGATAAAATACAAAATAAATTCATCTATATAAGTTTGTTTGATCCACAGATTGATATAAACAGTCTGTGTGAGTAGTTTTCACTGGGAATACTTTCTAATGGTTATAATGGTAAACTGTTGACATTGAGGTCTGTGGATTCTTCTGCTAAAGCGAGGCATTGCTTGAATTGCTGTTGAGGTTTTAAAATGTCATTTTCCAATGCCCTCAGTACCACAAACTAAATTATAAACACAGTAACTGAATTTGTGTGCCAGCAAAATTCTTGGTTATAGATATCACAAGACCTTAGAAAATAAATTATCAGTAATTCCTTGTGGCCAGATATTACCCAAAGTAGGTGGGAAAAAATGACCAGAGTTTTTATAGTTTCCTGATTTTATGTCAATTTTTGTTATGCCACAATCCAAAAAAAGTTCCTGCTATTTGACACATGTACCTGTAGTTCCTGCAAAGACAGACCGGATATTTGGAGGTCTGGCACTCTCTCAGCAAGGATCCTCTCTCGTTCATCTTTTTTGAATTGTTTTTCGTTCTCCAGCATAGTCATGGCCTTCTTTAGCAGTTTTGTCTGGTGCACATACAGGATGACACCTCAGTCAAACACACAGTATATGGTTTACAGTGCTTCAAGAATATGAATTCCTAAGATTAATACACAATTAGACAAAAGATACCTTCAAGAACAGCCTGCGAGATGCAGAGATTTTTGGCTTTGGTTTCTGGAAAAGAAGACAATGTTCATTTTATTCATTTGGCCTTGAATGTATTGAATGAATTGTTGTCAAATGCTCAGTTTTGCACTTATTTTCATTATTTTTTAATATTTAGATTAGAGAATTCACTCATTAATGTCAGCATTCAAGACAGGGTTAAAGTGCTGAAGGCATAGCTGGTGTGTTGCCTAGTTTTAATCCAATCGATTAAGCCATCTCATTGACAACTAACATTACTGACAACTGAAATCAACTCACCGAAGGCCTGTAAAGTTTGGAGCAAGGATGCAAATAGGTGGAGAGGAGATGCTTTGGTTAGATTAGAATCTCACATAGCAAACGCTAACGTGTATTGAAACTTAAAGGTTATACGTACGCTTCAGACATGGTTGCAGTCTTGTGTTCCCCCTCGTTTAATCTGCAAATATAAGAAAAACAAAGTTAGAACAACATCTGTATTTTTTTTTCCAGAAGGATACTTTTCACATTTCAGCCCATTGACTGTTGTAGCTACTGTGGGTTGGGTATACATAGAAGGCGACATAAACAGTGTATGACATTGTCAAAAGGTCAAACGTGTGACTTAAAAAAATCCTCACTCAAACAAATCCAAAAAAGGTTACAATAACCTGGCAGGTTATTTCTGAAAAAAGGAAACATACACAAAGACTAAAGAGGAGAAGATTTGTAAAAGTAAAACACATAAATCAAATGGACACTGTTGTGTGTTAGTCATAACTTCAACTCAGACATCTGTGAGAAGCCACAGATCTTAGATTTAGAAAAAAAAACAGTTCCCTTTTTGACTCACAAGTATATTTGTCGTTTTAATAAAAAATATGAAACCTGGTCTTAGTAAATGACAACATAATATCATAACGTAAATACTGTTTTAGAGTAAAAATTATTATATCCATTTTTAAAAATACTGATAAATTCAGAATGGCAAGAACAGTTTGAATATATTGCAACACATGTTTTTTATTTCCTTATCCCTTGATTCTCCTGTATTTCAAAATAAAATCCTTACCTTCTACAGCAGGTGACAAACACTCACAGGCGTCTTTTTCTGAGACTAGAAGGAAAGAAAGAGGGTAGATATATAGATTCCAGTGCTCATGTGAGTGGCTCACTAAAATAGATCCTCAGTCCACACCATTCTTGCACTGCGTCTCTCATATAACATATGTAAGAGGTGTGAAAGTTCTTGCAGGGATTGTCCGTCTGTGATTTCCTTAGTGGCTACATGCTAAGGAGGGGAGTGAAGTTTGAAGGAGCTTTAGTCCACTGTTATATGTGTTTAGTTACAGTTGATCCCATTTCCAATCCAAAGTGGACATTTAGGTAAACAGTTTAAAACAAGAATGCCAGAATTTCTATCTGGTATTGGAGCCAATAAACCAAAGACATATAACTTTACACCCCCAGCAAAAACATTAACAAACAAAGAGGGGATACTTTTGCATTTGTTTTAAGATGTCTCTAATAACCAATGCATTTCGATCATCTAAGAAATAACATGGTCTCTCATGGTAACAGCTAACTCACTAGCAGGTGGTAGTTTATCAGGGACAAGTAGCATTTCTCCACAATCTGCACTCTATTATGAAGCTCAGGGCATTGTGTAGATTTCAAAGAATTATGCTGCCATCACAAGGCTGCAGAGAAGAACTGCTGCAAACAGTCGCATGCATCACTAATACACAGCGGTCAATAGAAAAACAATATGATTTAAGCATATTCGAATGAGCATTATGTTACGATAAACTACTGCCTTAAAACAACAGTCTGAACATCAAAACCTATGAGAAGTGAACTTTGGATGAACTTTTGGCTTTCATGTGATTGTTACCTTGACCTCTACTATCAACTTAATATGGGGCAGCATTCTTCTACAGCAGGGCAATGCATCCCAATGCATGGCAAAAAATAGCAGTAGAAACACCAAGAACCCCAGGCTCTGAGTCTGGCCTCCACATTCTTCAGATCCCAAACCAAATGAATATCTACAAGATCTGCCAGAGCACACTTCATCATCGGTGGCCCCAGCAAAACTCAAGCCAACCCACAGGATCCAAAGGAACCACTGCAAGTGCTCTGGTTCCAGACATCACAGGATAGTCTAGTGGTGTTGTGTCCATGCCCTGATAGGTCAGAGCAACACAATACTAGTAAGGTGTTAATAATGATGTAGCTGATCGCTTTTCTAACTGAAGAAAAGCTTTAACTAAGTTTAAAAAGTCAGCAAGTGTTGTTATTCCAGGAGTCACTTGGTTTTAAGTCTTTGTCTTTCTTGCAGTTCACAAAACAAGATAATATACAGATAACAAATAGTGTAAAGAAATCCATCCATTTTCTTACATTCATGTTCGACCACATGTTTGCTTCCATATTTTCTAAAATAATAACACATTTAAATATCGTCTAAGTTATTCATATGAAATTTACTTTAAAATCTCCTGATGCATTCCAGGAAAATAAATCTCCAAAAGTTGATTTTGTTCATCTGGACGTAGCGTTTTCTGGGAGAAATGTTTTCGTCACTCATCCAGGTGACTTCTTCAGTCTCTTCTTCTCAGACTGAAGAAGTCACCTGGATGAGTGACGAAAACATTTCTCCCAGAAAACGCTACGTCCAGATGAACAGAATCAACTTTTGGAGGGTTACTTTAAAATCATTGCTGGAAGTTAACACTTTGCTTTTGAAATAGTTCTATGTTTATGATAATTGAATTCTCTGCCTGACAGTGTTGCTCAGCAAACAGAGATGTTGCTGCAGAGTGCTAGTAAGTGGATCTGGACCTGAAAAGCTGAAGCTGCATCTTTTTGCTGAATAGCCTCTGTTCCTACGGTAACTATTATTATGGGTTGTTTAGATTCCCCATTGGCACATTTGTTACAGTACACTGTACTTTTCTCATGCTTTTAAACTGTCCTAGACTTTTAACAAACCATCTGTGTTTTAAGCACACACACACACACACACACACACACACACACACACACACACACACACACACACACACACACACACACACACACACACACACGCACACACTTTAATAAATACATACATAAAAAAAACATCCAGCAAAAATGATTTTAATTGTTACTTTAACAGATTAATTTGTGGTTAGGAAATAATATCTCTTTTACTGGCATTCAACCTCACGATTGAGCAACACCCCATTTTTGACATGTAACCAATTTATTATTGTTCCAACTATAATTTAGAGTCTACAATGTCTGTTATTTTGAGTGTCATTATATCAGAATAATAGCTGTTTGGCTCCAAACTAATAAGATGTCCATAATTTACAGATGTGTTTTGTCTTGATTTAAACCAGCTGAATAATGCGACCTTTGAGTCACATTTAAAATTCCCATGGGTTACTGAGGAAAAGGCCACAATCTCACAGCCAAATTGTTTCCAATTAGCTCCCAGCTTTCTGTTGATCTTGCACACCACAATTTTTAAAAGTACAGAGGCCAAAATAAATAGAGACACTGTACGGTGCTATTCCAAAGTCTGGGAGAGAATAGTTGGAACGGCAAAGATATTTTATGTCACACATGAAAGCATTTGCTCAGGATTATACATTTGCAGAATTTTCTGAATCATTAGCTAATACCAATTTCACAGAATCTGTTGTTTCATATTGTTTAACTGCAGGCTGTAAACCTGCAGTATTACAGTTTTGTTTCAGTCTCACCTCTTTCAAAGCACTATTTTTGGCTGCTTTTATTTCCCTCGGGAATAAGACCACAATGAAGACTTAAACCAGAATTCAAGGAAGGTGAATATAGGGAATATTGCTGTATATTAAGTCATACTGGAACCTATGAAGCCAGGACCAAGTTTTCAAAAAGGGGCTTTATGCTTCTATTATATGTGGTTAAGTTGTTAGAGCCGTGCTGCCACTTGGAGGTAGCATTTATTAATTTTGCCTTCATAACAGAGTAATTTTACAGTAACCTTTAAAACATTTCGAAAAACCCTTTTCTGTCTATTCTCCTTTTTGACATTTAAATTTTTTTTTATTTATTTACCTATGGACTATATAAATAGAATAGAATAATTCTTTAATTGTCCCACAAGGGGAAATTTGGTTGTATTAGCAGCAAAAAAGCACATATACAAACAGAACAGGACACAGAACAGAAACACAATTTTTACATATTTTACATCTTGGACAATAGTTACCAAAGCAGAGTACTGTACAGTTATACAAATTAGAGTACAGATAAGTGGAAAACCCAGGTTGTAGTGTGCAAACAGAGCAGGATACTGAAAGATGTTTAAATAGTTAATGTTACGGTCGCTGACCTCTAGTGGCTCTCCCTCTGTAGAAGAGTTTTTTTTCTCCTTTTCTTGTGTTGCAGGTCTGCCTCATGAGCCACAGCTGAGGTGTGTTCCAGCTCGTCAGCCACGGCATATAGTCTGCCATTCTAAACTGCCACACCCCTACCACTTCCCCCATTTTTGCCAGAGCTGTGAGCTATAGTGTTTTGGGCAGCAGGCCTTAGTGTGTGTGTGTGTGTGTGTGTGTGTGTGTGTGTGTGTGTGTGTGTGTGTGTGTGTGTGTGTGTGTGTGTGTGTGTGTGTGTGTGTGTGTGTGAGAGAGAGAGAGAGTGAGAGAGAGAGAACTTAAACTCTGTGAAACTTTGGTTTTCTTTCTTTTATTGTAAGCAAAGGTGTGCCCTTATTGCCATTTTTGTTTCAACTGTTTTCTCCTGTTTTTGGTTAGACAGGGAGCTCAGCCATTGTATTTTGTTTTGGTTAGAGAGTACTTGGGGCCCGTTCTTCGTACCTCGTTAAGTAAGTTAGCTGGATTTGATTGTTGACGATTTCGCGTGATCTTGGATCGTTCGGTTCCCCGAAGTTCATCCGGGACTTGCTGTCATAGCAACAGAGCCGTAAGCGTAAACCTGCTCGGGAGCAGGTTTACTTTATGTAAACAGGATTAGATCGCGGCCACGCAGGTATGTCCGCTTCATTTATACGAAAGCAACAGCGATATTCCACCACTGTTTCACCATAAATAAATAACATCAATGTAACCAAAGATAATGCAGCACTTGATCCTTTTATTGATGTCACACAGATACATACAGGTCATTTCCTAAAAAAGGGAAATGTACTATTAACATTCTATTACATGTATGTGATTATTACAGATGTAAGTCATATTTCAGAGTAGTAATTGTAAATTACTTCGTGTAATCAAGATGAGAGACCACGGCTATAAAAGCGAAGGTGGATTTGGGAAGCCTGTCGCAGCCATGTCCTGTCCGTTTACGCGAGCAAGTACGAACCATGGTTATGCTTTCGCTCCTTACTTAGACCCCCAAAATGGCGGATCGGGCCAAAATCCTTTCCACGCCCACCCCCGTGACATCACGCTCCAAAGCCCGGACAGACAGGATCCTTTAGCTCAACGCGACAGTGTGCTAATTGAGAGATATCGATTTTCCCGTGAGGATATTATTTACTTAACCAACTTGTTGACGAGGGGGTGCAGGACCACCACCTGTCTTTTTTTGCTCTGCCCTTTTCTTGGTTGCTGTTATGAACAAACAAACAGATTATTCCAGGGTCTCTTTCCAAGAGACGAAAAGCAATATAAGTGATAAATATTACCATTCTGTAGCATATTCTCATATTTCACTTTTACTTGTTCCCATGTTCTAGTGGGTCCTGATGTGGCTCTAATGTGAAAGGGGATATAATATAACATGATATAATATAATGTAATATAATATTGGATAATATAGTGTGATATGATAAATCTACCCTACCGCCTACTGGTGTTGGCCAGAGGGGCCGATGGCGCGATATGGCAGCCTGGCTTCTGTCAGTCTGCCCCAGGGCAGCTGTGGCTACAACCGTAGCTGCTTCCACCAGTGTATGAATGTGAGAGTGACTGAATGGCATTGTCATGCGCTTTGGGTGCCTTGAAAAGCGCTATATAAATCAACTCCATTATTATTGTTATTATTAAATTACTTACGAGTTTAATTTGTCAGCAACTTTCTGCCAGCCCTCTCTCCTTGCTTTTGCAGCCTTTGCAGTGTTCCCTTGCGTTTTAATTAAACTCTGAAACTCCTGAAATCCCTCACTCAAGAGTTCTTGCTCTGCTGCCGAAAAATACCGAGCGCGCTCCTTCGACATTTTCGCCGACCAATCAGAGGGTTGCCGATCAATGTTTCTACTATCGATGCGTAGCCCCTTTTACGACACCCAGTGATCTCACATTACTTCATCCAGCTATACTAATCGTCAACAACAGGTGTGTTCGGAGAACCGGAATAGCGAGCTCACGGTTGGCGCGATGATTTGGTCTTGGATGTGTCATTTGATCTTGGATGTAGTAAGCGACGTACGAAGAACGGGCCCTTGGTTTGATTTTTAGCTAAAAGGGGGGTTTTGTTTGTTGTTTTGGCCTTGGAGACCCTGAAGAAAAGAGCTTCCCTGTGTTTATTTTTACTGTAGTAGTTTTGGGCAATAAATCAAGTTCAATGACATCTATTCTCCAGTAGTTCATGTTTTCTCTTTCACTTTGTGTTACCCCTCACCCCAGTCAGCACTTCGTTTTTAAGTGGGGCGTAACAGTTAGCAATATTTAGAATAATCAGAAAAGTACAGATTGTGTATTGTACCTGTGCATTAAAAAGTAGGCATGTAACTTCCAATAAGTTAGTGTATATGTAAACTGAGAAAAGTAATGTGCAAGTTATAACAGCAGAAGTTGTTACAGCGCTGATGTAAACATCTATGTTTGTTGGGAGCAGTTTTGATTGTAGTCTGACAGCTCAGGGAGGAAGGACCTGTGGAAACGCTCCTTCATGCATCTAGGATGCAGCAGTCTGTCACTGAAGGAGCTCTGCAGTTCAACAGAGTTTTACCAGACGGATTTGGAGGAGGAACTCTGTCAGAGCAGCTTCTCTCTCCTCTTCAGTTGATCACTTTCCCCCTGCTAACACAATATAATCTGAATGGGGGAAAAATGCATCAAGAGTGATGCATTTCTTATTTAAAATATTAAATATAATTCTTATATATGATTCTTACACGCAACATGACTTTTCTCACATTACAGGATACTATACACATATATTATGTTATTATGTTTAAATATTGTAAACAATATTTACAAATGTGATGCTGGGACGGATGCAAATATAGTAAATTCTCTGCATGTTTAGCACAGCTGGGCTGTATGCTGAGTATTGGTGATATGATGTTTATATACCCACCCCACACATTAATTGTCCTGTTAAAGCAGATCAATGAATTTGAGCATTTTACTCAAAGCTTTTTATTTTTCAGTTTCTCTGTTGTAATATAGAGGTGGATAGACATACATGGAAGACAACAGTGTTTAATTTGCTCTTAGTGGATAACATTATGAAAGGACAAGACAGTGCTCTATGTTAGTGACAGTAGTAGCAATAACTGTGTATCCACTGCACTGGATATTGATCAGGAATCTGTCCCTATGATGCCAGACAGTTCGCTTAGATGCACCTCAAAACTGCATGCATGAGTCAGTGAGTATGACAGACAAGCACTAATGACTATTTGACAGGCAGTCAATCCATTTTATAGTGTTGTACTAACGACTAACTACTGAACGAGTGTCTAAAATAGAGTCTTGTCTGTGCTGCTGCTACTGTTTGTTCACCAAGAGAAGAATTTAATGTTGTGCAATGCATCACTACAATTTTCGAATAGAAGACAGTTAAACTTAATTTCTTGGCTCAGAATTTTGGGTGTCCACCTGTTAGTGGATGTGACAGGAAGTATTTAAAGAAGTTATTAAACTTATGTCAGGTCAGTCACATTCACATTATACCAGAGTCAGATCAGATCCAGCTGTTAAGAAGTCAAACAGCAGGGAGAAATCAACTAAGAGTGTTGTCATGTATTTGCTCTGCAGCTTTATTTATCAAACTAACGTGTCCATCTATAGTGCCACTATCGAAAATACTTTCCTACAGCGTAGTTTCTAGTGGGCACAGCTGATACACATCACAATTGCTTTATTAGGGTTTTAAAATCTCATTGCAAAAAGTCAGAAATAGTATATTTAGTGCACATCATCTGCAAGTTGTGATAGCACATTACAGGAACAGCTTGGAGTTAGAACAACACCAAAGGTTTGTCCTGCTTTATTTAGGGGAATAGAGAAATGAGGACAGGTGCTCGTCAGGGCTGGTGGTAAACTGAGCCAGTGTAGAGTTCAGTTTGCGTCAGTGTTGTAACCGGGAGTTATGTTCACTCAAAAGGCTGCAACTCACATCCTCACACAAGGATTGGTAGACAGCAAACAATTAAATAAGAATGCTGAAGTGCAAGTCTGAGATAGTTAAATGCTATATTTAGACTCTTAATATTTGTTTTGAAGTAGTATCTCACTGATTTAGTGGTACAGTAACGTTGAGAGTGGTACACTAAAGTTCAAAGTGGTCCTTAGCACAGAAAAAGCTCCAAAATCCTTCATCCTGCACTTCATATAATGTGATCAGTGGGATATTTTCCGTAAACTCTCTCTGCCTGGCCGACCAGAATAAAAACCTCTACATTTACATTTACTTCCACTTTCTAATGATGTGCATATCAGGCTAGCAGACAGTGTGCTGTCTCCCAGCAGAGCACCCAACATGGCGTCAGCTGAGATCTTCACCCTCTTGAGAGCAGGCCGCTTCATCTTTCCTTTTAAGTCAAAGACTTTTTGAGAAAGATTTTCAATCTGCAGGAAACACATTAAAATGATAAGAATGAACTATGCTGTTGTGCAGAACCTGTTTCTAAATAATGATAACATTTGAGATATAATGACAAAAAAGGACAAGTAAAACATGTAATGTTAAGAAAGCCATTTCTGAAGGTCATAAAGAATGAAAAACCTCCTTGTTGTTTTTGGCAACTTTCACTTCACTATCATACCGTTCTTCGTCTACCACATCAATCTTTTGGTGCAGTTCTTTGCACAGAGCCTACATAAACAGAACAATATCAAATTGTTAAACAGAAGAGCATGAGCAAAAAAGATTCCTGCTCATTCCAGTGTCATAAATTACCAAAAATAAGATGGAGAAAACAGCACACATGAAAATGGTGTATATGCATGGCATCTGTACACATTAGAGAGTTACTTATGTGTGGGGCATTTCCACTGTGTTATTTCAGTGATGCTTCTGCAGTGACCTGCACATACCTGAAGGTCCTGCAGAGACAAACCAGACAGCTGAAGTGGAGGGACTCTCTCCCTCAAAGTCGTCTCTCTCTTCAGCTTCTTTTGCTCCTTTTCATCCTCCAACATCACAGTTGCTGTTTTCAGCAGCTTGGTCTAAGTTGTAGAAAATGCACGTAATGACTCAAATAACTGATAATAAATAACTAATATGGACTCCTGAATGAACAGCTTTCTAGTTTTGCTATGCATATTTCATCTGTTTTAGTAAAAACAAAGAAGAAAATACCTTAAGGGCAAGTCTGCGGGCTGCAGAAATCTTTGATTTTCTCTACAAATAAAAAGTAGACAAAAATACATTTTTTCAAATAATAATGTTAAACAACTGTTTAACTTCTTTGGAGATGTTAAGAACTTAGAAGAACTCACAGATCTGTGGTGGGTATGATGGTGTGGAAAAGGATAAGAAATAACAAGAGTTTGTTTCTACATGTTAAAAATATTTTTTAAATGCCTGTGGAAAAAAATGTCACTTACGCTTCAGCCATGGTTGACTTTTGTCTGTAAAATAATTAATACTGAAGTGAGAAAATCTACTTTTGGTAAAAAGGTTGTAAGAGAAGCATTATTAGCAGCGTATGAATGCATGATCATAGTATTATAACGTTTTAACAAGCTTCTAGGCTATGGTTCAATTTTGTAAACTATTTTCACTAGCCTGTTTTTTATACTTCTTCGCATGCTGTCACATCTTTTTACCGAGACAAGTCAAAGTAATCCAGACCTTGGACTGCTTTTTTTTTATAAATATAAATGTTATGAAAGTTAAAAGTTTTAAATTGCCAACACTGCATGCTTGAGGGTCACAGATACTTTGAATGATATTCCTTTTTTAGTCCCGTTTGATAAAACCCAGATCAGAATAAAAATATAAATCTTTTAATCAGTTTAATTTAATTTTTAAAATGATAGATCTACAAAGATGGATTTTTGTAGAAAATGTATATAGCTGCTACAAATGAATAAAAGACACATTAACATCGAAATTACTTAAATTAGTTTAAACACATTGATGTGACCCAAGATTAGATATAAATGTGGCCAGTATTCTTATAAATATTGAACTTGTGAAAATACTATATTTCTTATACATTTTTTCATGATAGCTTTGTGTGTGTCATAATCTAATAAGGCACCTGTCAGTAATAACATCATAATAGAAAAAGAAACCCTTAACCTACACTACCATCACTCATACACATATATTAAACATACCTTTTTTAATCTCTGCAGAACACCCAGTTGGTGTGATCAGTCTCTGTCTTTAAATGACTGCAAGAAAACTCAAGTCAAATTTAATGACTCCTATTGCCTTCTCTGAGTGGCCAACCCAAAATAGCCTCCTCTATCCTGACAGCCAGTATATTGCATATCACTACACTTCTATCCCCCAGCAGTAGAAATATGTCAACACTGAGCCATTATCACTGATGAATACTTGTTAATCTACACTGTGCGCTTATCTTGAGCCACCTCTCGTTTTTTTGCATTTTGCTTAAAGGAGCCTGATCTTTTTGTAATGTTTTCAAAAGTGGTCTTACGCAGCAGTTCTCTGAGCTTTCTGAAGGTCTGTTTGTCAAAGTGTTTCTTTGAATATTGGCTGCTTTTTCACTCATTCTCAGTCGTGGCCATTTTCAGAAGAATGTTTGTTTGTTAATTTCTTTGATAATCATTAATGATTCAAGAATATACCAGGTAATTAACTCAAGGAATGAACCAACGCTGTGTCTACAGATGACAGGCTGCTTAGCAGATGATCTGCTCACATTTCTTTAGTTGAATCTACAAAACCTACAAAAGATAACGCACGCATTTCACAGGTGTTGTAGTATTTTTGCACCAGCAAAGTGATTCCCAAAAAGTATTAGCTGAAAACTTGTTAAATCCCAGCATGATGTGCAGTGTGCATTACAAATAAAAAGGAAATTGGACATGTAGAGAACAAAATAAGGATTGGCAGTCTTAAAAACAGTAGATGAACAGTACCTGAAAGTCATGTCCTTATGAAATAGAAAACAATCCGACAAAGACCTGACACGGGACCAGAGAGATACGTCTGGCCCTTAAGTTGGTATATCAGCTGTTCACTGAGGTCTCATGAGAAAGTGCATCAGTTGAAGGGTGGCTGTCAAAAAGCAATTCTTAAGGAAGTGAAACAGGAAGAAAAGGCTGAGGCCAAACTGCACCAGAACTGGATTGAAAATCAACGAAAACTCTCACAAATCCACATTTGAAATTTTTGGTTCAAATCATCATCAGTATGTACAGAGGTGGTCAGGAGAGAGGTAAACCAATAAGTGTGTACAGCCATCTGTAAAATACGATGGAGGCTCTGTCATGGTTTGGGGACGCATTTAAGGCAGTGGTGTTAGAGAGCTTTAAAAATTGATGGAGTCATGAAAACAGAAAAGTACCATCAGATTTACCTACCATGCAATACCACGTAGAAAGCATTTGAGGCAACGCTTCATTTCAATGATCCCCAACACACTACCAATGCAGTAAAAGCATACCTGGATAGAAAAACACACAGTGGAGTCACGAGCTGGCCTCCCCAGAGCCTGGACATCAACAGTGTTGAAGTAGTCTGGGATCATCTTAACAGAGAGTGGAATGAAAGGCAGCCAACATCGAAAACAGAGATTTAAATGCCCTTTAAGAAATCTGTAAAACTATTCCTGGAGACTACTTAAAGAAATTACCAAGAGTGTTCAGGTTGTGTTTAAGATTAAAGGTCAATATTTGGTCAGTACCACATCTACTTTCAAGCCAATTAAAATTGTACAAACTGCTTTCCCTTATATGCTGTATTTCCATGTATGTTTGCACACACCTGTCAGTAATTCACTTCACCGATTTCCCATTTTCCAGGCAAAAATACAAAAAATTTAAAAATAGGAAAAAAATGAAAATCTATTTTAAAAAAAAGGCAAAATCACTTATACAGGCACATTTGTTTAATTGGCATCACACATACTGCAGATATTGGAATAGCAATAAACAATTAAAAACACTTTGAAAGGAAAAATCAAAATCCAGATAATCTGGATTTTCTTTAGTGCAGTTTTAATGTGCAAATATTAGAATTTATTACATAATTTGTAGGGGTGCAACGATACACAAAATTCATGGTTCGGTTCGATACTTTGGTGTCACCGTTCAATATTTTTTCGATACAAAGAAATGTTCATGCTTTTTTAATTTGTCATTTATTAATATTATAAATATATATTTTAACTCAAATTTAAATTTAATGTTGCTGAAACAACAAAGGGATAAAATAATAAATCTATCTGATCGAGAAATCACTCATCTTTGGAAAAGAGAGTTTATTACAGAGAAATAGCTCTTTCCGAAATAAAAGCTATACTACTCTTCTTCTGGGCTATATTCTCAGCAGCATATTAAACATATCAGGTCCCCATAAGGAGAATCATGTGCTAACGGCTGTCTAAATGACTCTGGTAAAGTTTGTAGCATGCATGCTTGTTGTTTTTGTCTGCTTCCACTTGTCTTTGCACTAGGATGATGTCGGCATAAATGTGCAGTCATATTCATTTTGTTCCCACTAGTGCTGTCAGCGTTAATCTGAAATGACGTTAACGCAACAACACGGCAAATCTCCGTCAATGAGCTACCCCTGATCGCCCATGCGTGGGGCTGGACGGCGTCAACACGTTAACGAGCTAACTGCGCTAATGCAGTAGTTCCCACCAATGTAATTGAGCATTGCGTGGCACATCCGACATACTGTTTTACTTTTGTCCATGACGCGCTTACCTTCAGGGTCATGCTTCACATGAAGACCAAAATAGTTCCAAAGGCCAGATCTGAATGAGGGTGGGGGAGGTTCAATTCGCCATGTTGCAAGGAGCTTAGCTTCTGTCATGCTAGTTTGTGCTGCGCTCAGTGGATCTGCGCTTGACAGTGCAGCCTAGGCGGAGTACTCGAACGCAGATCCACTGAGCTCTCAACACAGACAGCATCGTCAGAAGAAAAGTTGATAAAATAAATAAAAAATGTTGTATTGTTCGATACATATGCGTACCGAACCGAAAGCACTGTATCGAACGGTTCAATATCGATACGAGTGTTGTTGCACTCGTATCGTATTTTCTACTTACAAGTGTACATTAAGTCATGTTGACAAGTTTTGATTCACTCAGATAAAAACTCACTCACTTCAGCTTATGTATTGCAAACTAAAGCTTTATTTTAGCAAGATGTGTTGCTAATATAGCTTTATTTTTAACATGAGCAAAATTTTTATTGTCCAGCATTAAACATCTTCTTTCTGCCTTCCATGCCGGACATGGCTTCCACATTCTTCCTCCAGTCCGTCACTTCTTCCCTCTGTTTAAATATTAATTATGATTATTAAAATAAAAATACACAGATTTTAAATTACTCATTAATTTAGTTTAATTTCGTTTTTTGTGTAATTTTTGTTGCCATTTTGAAGTTTTTACCTTTTCATCTTCTTTCTTTACTGTCTTGAGGTTGGCCTTGAAATCAGCCTTTGTTAGTCTGGAGGTCTCGGTGCATGCACCCAGCATATCGTCTGTTGTTTTCTTGACCCTTTTCAAATTGGGCTTCTTTATACCCTTCAGCTCAATGATCTTCTGACTGAGTGATATAATCTGTGCAGCAAACATCAAACATGTGTATAACGTTTACACTCTGACAATGAAAGTACCTGCTGTTATTAACCGCTGTAGGTTTTAACCAACCCGTTCACCACTAGGGGCAGCATATTACCACCATTTTTTACACGCAGGACTATACAAAAAGTACTTTTACACTGTGATTCAGAATGTTTGTACCTCTTTCTCGTTTTTGCCTGCTTTGACCTCCATATCATAACGTGTTTCATCCACTACGTCAATTTTACGATGTAATTCTTTGCAAAGTTCCTGTACAGAAGAAAAAGAAAGATGTTTAAATGACATAAATTAATTAATTACCGATCATTTAAAATTTGTTTGGTCAGTACCTGGAGCTCCTGGACTGACATTCCTGACAGCTGCAGTGGAGGGTATGACTCATTCACAACTCTTTCTTTCTCCCTTTCCTTCTCTTCACCTTCTACCACCAGCATAGCAGCAGCCTTTTTCAGCAGTTTGGACTAAAATATAGTAAGGATTGAATCACTCTTTATAACATTAAAAACAATGGCTCTTTTGAATAATAATGATGATAACTATAAAAAATTAAAATGATAATAAAAAACCAAACACAACAAATGCAAAACACAAGTTCCTTTGAATCTATAAGACCTACTTTCAAAAGGAGTCGGCGTGTAACAGCAAACTTTCGCTTTCTCTTGGACTAAAACCAAAGGAGGTAAATTAGTGTAGATGATAAATATCATATGAAGTGCATAAAACTTCGAATTTGGATTAGGGATCAATTAATCGTTGTGAACATTGGCATTTTTACTCACCGGTCTTCATTATCAACATGGTGGTATGAGTACACACACACACACACACACACACACACACACACACACACACACACACACACACACACACACAGATCACTTGTTTTATTTTTTTTTAACCTGTGAAAGGTTTTTTAAAATAGGTGAATGATGTAACATATTAAACAAATTATACCGTACTAGGAGAATACTCACCCCTCAGACATTGCTGCAGCTTATTGTGCCTTTGGAAGAGAAGTACATTTTTTAACATCTAGTATCACAAATATAGATTCACAGATTTTCAGGTTAGTTTAAATTAATGTTCAAGCAAACATTTCAAAGGTTAAAGGTTTTGAACGTGATACTGTGAAGCTTCTCTTTCTCATATCTTGGTGTAAAGTTAATATTTTGGGGGGCTTTGGATGCAAACTACATTTATAATCCAGGTGATGTTGTCACCTAATTTGTGGACTCTTATTTTGAAGGCTGAATCCCATGGTCTTGTTTTTTTAACCGCATATTAAGAGCAAAGGGTGGAACTAAGCAAGAAATAAATTAGTGCATATGCATACAAAAGCAACTTGCAACTATGACCATAATTGACAAAATGAACAGAATCTTGTATTTTTAAAATATTTTTATTTAAAAATGTAAAACTAGTGATTGAGACCAAAAACCTATGAGGGATTTACTGAGGTCATGGGTCACATAAGCTCAATGGTTATTTTCCCATAGACTTCAAAACAGCTGGAATTCTTTTTAAAACCTCTTTTTAGAGTTGCCCCCTGCTAGTCATTAAAAATAATGCATGATTAAGGCTTTTGGGACCTGTAGGCCATCCTTTAGTTACAGTATTGGGTTTGGATTTGTGATCAAAGAAAAAACATACTGGAGTATATTATCTTGTACTTTGGGAAGCTGTAACTAACAACTATTTTCTTATTTTGTTCTCTTTTATCCTTTTTTTTAAACTTTTGTTTACACAAAGCAATCAACTATGTGAAAAGACGTACAAACTAATAGATAATAACAATTTAAAAAAGCACACATTATTATTATTCCTAGTATTCTCTGTTGATAATAAGATTAGGGAATTCGAGATCTGCTAAACAGATTTATTTAGTCTAATAGCTCTCAGGGGCTTTCAGATAGTTTTCAGCTTTCTTCCCAGGAGTTGCCTGTTGCACAGCTATATTTGGCCACATTGCACTGTGTCCCATCAGCTGCTGTGGCCTTGATAATGCGAGAGACAGCCAAGCTACAAAAAGTTTGGCAGCACAGAAAGTGGAACAACACCATACCAGCAGATACCAGTAGATCTCATCCAGATTCATATTGTGGCACATTTTCTATCTTAGAAGATTGTTTATTTTGTTTCTCTGTTACCAACACTTAAATTTAGCTGGCTAATGTCTTTGAATAATCTCTCCATGATATATATGCTTTCATATTACGTAGCCTTCTCCTTATCTATATGTTTTTATTTACTCTGTATCTTTACCTTTAAAAACGTACTACTGATTACTACATTGTATTAAAGCGAATTTAATCGTGATAAACAGTTGTAGTTCTAAAAATAAAAAGCTCTCCTCACTTGACGACATTATCCAGTTTAAAATAAGCCATTCTAAGAGAGGGTGAAGGTCAAAGTCAACAAGCAAAGTCACAGCTGGTTTAAGGAAGCCTTCAGCCTTAGCTAGAAGGTTACCAGTTCATATGAGCAAACTATCGTCACTTATTACATTAGCTTTTAACTGCAGTGAAGGATCAAACGTGTTGTTACCAGAGCCAAAACACAGATGGGCAGTTTCAGCCTCAGATTACATTTCCTCACTCAAAGGGTCAAGACATCATTTAAGAAGCCTGAGATGTTGTGGGAGTAAAAGCTAGGCTGCCAAGTTCAAAAAGTTTTAAGACCTTGACAAAAGTAGCCACATAGCTGTGATCCTGTCACATAAATACCGGCTGCAGTATCACTGTCAGGGGCAGATATGCAGTA